CATATAGAACCTTTTAGGGTTCCACAAATAACCATTTATCAAAAGGTTCTATGAAGAACTAATTTAATTAGGTGCTTCAGAGAACCGAAAAAAGTTCTTTAAAGAACATCATTAGATTCTCTGTGGAACCTTAAAATCAGAACCTTTTAGGGTTCCTTAAATAACCATTTATCAAGGGGTTCTCTGAAGAACTAATTCATTTAGGTGCTTCAGAAAAAGGTTTTTGGGTGTGTTAATCAGAAATTATCAATTTAAGTGCAGTAATTAAACCAAAAAGAAAATTTTGGGACCCAATTACATTAAATCACTGTTTCATTCCTGTCAAATCTGTTTTCATTTACACCCAGACAAAACTTTGTTTTAGAGGTTATAAAGGGATGTTTTTTGTTTCTACATTTCTTGAAAAAATTATTTCTACAAAATTAAACACAACAAAAACTGATCATATAACATGTCCTTCAAAGCAAACAATAATGCCATTAAAAAAGGTACAACTAATTGTTTTTCATAAAAATGTATAAAATTGACTTTCTCAAAGAAAGTCCCTACCCACATCTGTACCAAAAATCTTGGACAGGCGAGAGTCAAAAAAAGAACTCACAAACTGCAAGGTTCCAATATGCAGTCAATTTATTTGCTTCAGGAAAGTAGTTGTAACTTCTCAAGCAAGAAAGCTCTGTCACGCAAGTTTACAGGCGCCATCTTAAATGTCTTGTGATGTAGTCACTTGATGGGCCATGCACTGCGAACAAACAGTGTAAACAAGCAGACATAATATAATCCTATGCAAGGCAAAAAGGTATTATAAAGTGCTGAAATGTTTTTATTATGCTGGGAAAATAGTGGCGGTAAAGAGCAACTCGAGTTGAACACATTTGCAAAATCACACCAACAGAACAAATGGAAAACCATAACAGAAAGTGCCAGGCTTGCTTTTTACAGTGAATTATAAAACCTTTGCACAGCAATTGGAACAGAACCCTTCATTTTGAAAACAAAAGTTTCCAGAAAGGAAACAGTCTTTCTCAAGTTTTTGGGATACTGAACTTGGAAGATGTGGTAAAGAGAAAAAGTAGCAGCCAGGGCAAGGGAGATGTCCACACTGCCATCATCGAGGAGTATCTCTTCATTATCCATCTTCACAGTGATGGCCTCACTCTGCAGTGGGTTTTCGTCCCTGCAGCCTGTCAGGACAACAGTTGGTGTTGGAAACACTGGATCCTGTAAAATGCAATCATAGAAAAGCCCTTAAGACCCCCTTTTTCAGACAAAATGACCAATTAAGCAAAGTTGAAAATATTTTAACCTGGCAGCAGCCAGATCTCTCTGTGTAGCCCCGCCCCGTGTTGAGTCTACACAGAGATCTGGAATGGTTGCAGCAGAATCTGTTTGAAAGAGGGAGGGCTTTCTGGTAGAGAATATTTTCAATTGATTGGAGGACGCGCAAGGTAATGCCCAGCTGGCACTGGCTGGCTGCTGCCAGGATAGGGCATCCATGGTGAAGTGTGAAATCCATGGTGTAGCATAGCTAGCGAAGGTTCATATTAGAGGGCTGCATCGGGATTGGGTCCCGCGGAACCCAACACAAATCTTGCGAGGGCGGGCGGTGTGAATTTTGCTGCGGGCGGGAACGGTCGGCTAAAAGAAACAGTGCGGGATTGGGATGAGTATGGAGTCGGCAACTGATGTTGAAAAGAAGCTGAAACAAGGTCTTTATGACACAAAAACCAAAGCAAGGCAAGTCAGACAATTGGAGGAGTTTCTACGATTGCGTTAATATTTCTCATTCAGGTCTCTCTTAGAAAAGCAACCTCGATCACTGCCTGATTAGAGTTGAATAGAATGTGAAACGGCCTTGATTTCATTAACCCTTTAAGCACCACACAGTAGCTCCTTTATTATTTTTTTTAAAAGAATTTTATAGTTTAAGTAGCAAGGAGTTATTTGAAATCACATGTGCCGAGGTGTCACCGGTGATCCTGGTGACGCCTCGGTGTTAAAGGGTTAAAAACTAAATGAAAACAAAGTGCGTCATTCCTGACCATTTGTTAAAGGGGGGAGTCGAGGGGTGCACGCACTCTCTTTAGTCTTTATCCGCAAGAGCGCCAGGGACAGGGGGTATTGGAGATGTAGCGTGAGAGCATGTGTACAAGGTCAGATGCATGTGTCTCATGTAGGGCTGAAACGATTCCTCGAGTACCTCGAATAATTCGAGTACAAAAAATCCTCGAGTCAAATTCTCTGCCTCGAGGATTCGTTTAATTCATATTTAATTAATTCAGGGCTTTGCAATCGCCCGGGGTCATGTTTCACCCGGACCGAAATAAGTGACGCACATGCCCACTGGACTGAATGCACACGCGAGTAGCAAACGTAACTTAACTTTCTCTTAAGCCATGGCGGACAACGTGGACCCCGGTGGAGTGCGAAAAAGACAGAAAATGTCAAAGGTGTGGGACCATTTTTCACGTCGTAAGGTGGAAAACGTAGTCCAGTGTAAATACTGTAAAATGGATTTAGCCTACCACAACACCACGTCCTCCGTGCTGCAGCACCTGTAAATGTCACTTCTGCAGGCGGACTCAGAGCCTCTACAAGATAATGCATCTTAGCCTGTTTTTCTATATATTCTGCAGACACTGTGCGACTTTTTCGTTTGTAGCACTCAGTTTTAGCTCACACCGTACGTCTGGTAGCAACACGTCGAACTTAAAATGTGCTAAAAAATAGTTTTACACAACACGTCGGACTTTTTATTGTGTAATTGATGTCCGTTGTCCCTCGGGGTTTCAGCAGGAGGACACGGGTATTTATGAGTGGCGGAGGAAAACGAAAGAAAGTAAATAAATGTTTTGTGATCAGTGTAATTTTACAAAACCACGGCAAACATGCTTTCTCGACAATCCTTGTTATTGTGTGAGAAAAAAGTGTAGAAATTAAAACTAACGTGTGTTAATAGGGAAACAGCCGGTGAGCTGTTTGCGCCGTGAGCGGTTCTGGTTCTGTTTGGGCCGCAGCCGCTCGCAGCGCTACTTCAACAGTTATCCTCCTAGTTTTTGTCTGGCTTGCAGGCTAGCAGATTCTCGCACGAGGGGAAAATCGGCTCAGGTTGTGTACTTATTTTTTGCACAGACATTTGTTTACTGTGAAGTAAAGTTGAAGTGCTGAAGTTTTGCAAACTAATTTTGAATAAAACTTGAAGAATAACTGGCAATTGCTTGCTCATTTTGAGAGGTCTTTCATAATTATAACATGCTATTTGATATAATGGTTTACAAACACAAAAGGGTAATTTATTAGAGTACTCGATTAATCGAAAAAAAGATTCGATAGAGTACTCGATTACAAAAATATTCGATAGCTGCAGCCCTAGTCTCATGCTCATTGTGTTAGAGCTGGCAGCCCTGGTGAAAGCAGGATGGTATTTCGTAATTTCTCATCATGTTTGTACATTTCACTATAATTGTGACTAATCTGCTGCAGCTAAACCTTGATTAGAAAACTAAAAATCACAAATTCAACAGAAATCTTAATTTGTGCTAGAAACATAAACACAACTTAATATTTTCCTGAAATAGTTTAGTTCTAGTAAAATAAAGATATTTAAATAATATATTTAAGTTAGGTTTTGTCTGTTCTTTACTGAAAGTAGTTAATGAGCAAATAGCATAAAATTACGGCTGCAGCTATCGAATATTTTTGTAATCGAGTACTCTATCAAATCTTTTATCAATTAACCGAGTACTCTAATAAATTACCCTTTTGCGTTTTTAAACCATCATATCAAACAGCATGTTATAATTAGGAAAGACCTCCTGAAATGAGCAAGCAGTTGCCAGTTATTCTTTAAGTTTTATTCAAAATTAGTTTTCAAAACTTCAGCACTTCAACTTTACTTCACAGTAAACAAATGCGAGCGGCTGCGGCCCAAACAGCACCAGAACCGCTCACGGCGCATGCGCAAACATGGCTCGCCAGCTGTTTCCCTATTAACACACGTCCGTTTTAATTTCTACACTTTTTTTTTGTCTCACAATAACAAGGATTGTCGAAAGCATGTTTGCCGTGGTTTTGTCAAATTATACTGATCACACATTTATTTACTTTCTTTCGTTTTCCTCCGCCACTCATAAATACCCGTGTCCTCCTGCAGCAATCCTGAGGGACAACTGACATCAATAACAACACAGTAAAAAGTCTGACGTGTTGTAAAAACTGCTGTTTTTAGCACATTCTAAGACCGACGTGTTTCTACCAGATGTACGGTGTGAGCTGAAACTGAGTGCTACAAATGAAAAAGTCACACAGTGTCTGCAGTATATATAGAAATACAGGCTAAAATGCATTATCTTGTAGAGGCTCCGAGTCCGCTTGCAGAAGTGACATTTACATGTGGATGTTTCCTGGTCAGGTGCTGCAGCATGGAGGATGTGGTGTTGTGGTAGGCTAAATCCATTTTACAGTATTTACACTGGACTACGTTTTCCGCCTTACGACGTGAAAAATGGTCCCACACCTTTGACATTTTCTGTCTTTTTCGCACTCCACCGGGGTCCACGTTGTTCGCCATGGCTTAAAAGAAAGTTAAGTTACATTTGCTACTCGCGTGTGCATTCAGTCCAGTGTGTATGTGCATCACTTATTTCGGTCCGGGTGAAACATGACCCCGGGCGATTGCAAAGCCATGAATTAATTAAATATGAATTAAACGAATCCTCGAGGCAGAGAATTTGACTCGAGGATTTTTTGTACTCTAATTATTCGAGGTACTCGGGGAATCGTTTCAGCCCTACTTAAAATATAAATTCTATAGTTTTTTTAAATATCTAATTTTTCAATAATTATTCATATGGATCAATATGAATTTTATCAATATGCTTTTTTTCTATATTGTCCAGCCCTAATTCAAACAAAAGAAATTTCACACGTTGGAGTCTGAGTCCATGTCCAAGTTCAAGTCCTGATGTTGCAAGTCTGAGTTCAAGTGCAAGTCATATTTACCTTGTCAATGACAAATAGCTGCTGTGGGTCCTCTTTGAAGACGGAAGGTAGTAGAAGCACTGCAGCGTTGACAATCTGACCTTCAAAAAAATACAGAAGAATTGTAAAGAAAAATATAAGTGTCTCAAATAACACAGCGGCGCGTCTGGTCTTCAATCAGCCTAAAAGAGCACACGTCACCCCTCTGTTCATTGAGCTCCACTGGCTACCACTAACAGCACGCATCAAATTCAAATTGCTAACACTAGCATAAAAAGTCTGAGATGGTACGGCTCCCATCTACCTGAATCCTCTTGTAAAGGCTTACGTCTCGGCCCGGCCGCTCCGGTCATCACAGGATCGTCGGCTAACAGTGCCTACACCACGCTCAGGACAATCCAGACTCTTCTCATGCATCGTTCCACAAATGTGGAATGACCTTCCTGATACTACCAGAACTGCGGCGTCCTTTTCTATTTTCAAGAAACTCCTGAAGACCCTGCTCTTCAGAGAGCATCTTCTAAACTAGCACCCTCCCTGCACCCGTCCCCCCTCTATACTGCCCACTCCTTGTTCCTTCCTCTCCATGACTGATGTCAATGTGTTGTTGTTACTATTGTTGTTAGCCTCAAGGGCAAAATGCCGATTATCACTTGTAAGTCGCTTTGGACAAAAGCGTCTGCTAAATACATAAACATAAACACGTAATTGAGCATGGTAAAGTAAAATGCATAACAATTTATTAAACTGTAAAGTTATTAGAGGCACAACATACCTCTTCTTTCCTCCTCTGTCTCTGAGGCATCAAGCCCAACCAAACACTTGTCCTTGAGGGCACTTTTAGGAGCCTTGTCAACAATTTTTGGGACATCTTGGCAAAGTTGGTGACTATGCGTTTCTCCACATCCACTTTGCTTATGAGCTTCACTTCCTCTAGAATCTAAAACACACACAGTACGAAAAAGATATTGATACCAAGAATTTAAAAGGAACTCCAGCTATGAGGACGTGTTTACCCTAATAAGCCAATATTTTTCTGTTGTACCAAAATATGTTGTTAGAAGCACACAAAATATAGCCAATTATTTACAAAACTATGTTTAGTACATTTGTTGACATACGTAAGACACCATGTTTTCTGCGTGCAATGCACTCTGGGGACGATGACGTATGTTTATGTGCTCACCGTTATAATAATTAAGTAAAATGCTGCATTGCGCTGCTTTTGGATGCAATTTCCAGTCAAAAGGCAACAAGGGGAGTGATGTGAGTTACAGCTTTCCTACTGACAAGAAGAGGCGAAAGCAGTGGGAAGATGCCTGTGGACAGACAACTTTTTTCAGCTGCCAAATTATGCATCCCCATCTTTTAAACTGTTACCTGCTATGCTGAAACCACACAATGTATATAAATATATATATTTATATTAAAACTAAAATAAACACAGAAATACCAGGTTTTATCCTAACAATTTGTACGTGACGGTTAATAGAATCTTTACTGTGTCCCAGATGAATTTTTCAAAGATCTGCTATGGTATTTCTGTGTTTTTTTAAATAAATATATATATATATATATATATATATATATTTATTTATATACATTCTGTGGTTTGAGCATAGCAGGTAACACTTTAAAAGATGGGGATGCATAATCGTCAGCTTGAAATGTTCCACTGCCGAAATATGCATCCACTACTACTTCAAGTAATGAGGGGATGCTATTCTCAGCATAACACTGGGCAGAATGTGGGATGGAGCAGGGAGGAGGCGATTTGCTATAGGTTATGCACAACTGTTTTTCCTCCACTTTTTCTACAAAGATTGGATCAAACTTCTTCACCACGCTGCTGAGTCGGGTTGTCAGACATGAGTGGTACCACACGTGCATATTTGCTACAAAACTCACGTGTCTGCAACTTTTTGCGTAATTTAGAGGGGTGAGTTGTACCAGCGTAGATTAGTCGGTTCTGCTGTTGAAACCCGTTGTTCCACCGCTCCGCAGCGCGCAAGCGTACACGCGAGCTCACTACAGCCCCCCAAGTTGGCCCCGAATTCAATATGTTTTTCACATGCCAACAAAAAGAAAAAAAGTAATTCTCTTAAATGAAAAGTCTCAGCTATTAACTTGCATGCTTTGGAACAGAAAAAGTGCATAAAAACCACAATAATTCAAGCTCCACTCTGATGCTCACCTGTTCCAGCCAGATGCCTGCATCAGAAGGTTAGGCTCTAAATTGAGCTTTATCAGAGAGGACAGTTGCTCACATATAAGTGCTGGTGCAAATGGAGAGCATTTCAGCAGCTCGGGCTGTGTCAAAGAGGAAAGATACAAGCTGCAACAGCTCTGACCTGAGCGTGTCAATACGCTGGAGTCAGCCCCGCCTGGAAGTTGTTCGCTTCCCATGTCAGCCGCGAAAGGACTACTAAGCAGTTGGGGTCTCAGTTTCTGGGTTTCAAAGTCGGCAAGTCGCTGAGAAAACTCGGAGCTGAGTAAGTGCACTGTTTTCAGTTTGTTCGAAACTGCGGAGGGTAACGCCAACGCCGATACTATCACTAAAAGCTAATGACTGTAAACAGAAAATAGGGGGCGCTCCGGCGCTTCGACTGGCGCGAAAACACCGCAAAGCACTGTGGGATTTGAAGTCTTCGCGGCAGATTGGACCGGCGGGCCCGTTTTAATACATTTTTTAAATTTAATCTCGGGGGCCAAATAAAAATAGACTGCGAGCTAAATTTGGCTCGAGGGCATGCGTTGGGCACCTGTGATCTAGCCCTACTCTCAACAGTCTGCCGATTTAAACAGGAATACACCACACATTGTTCAAGATGGCTGCATCTTTCTTTTTTTTGCCTCGGAGCAGCTAGTCTATTCCCCATTTGATAAGGGAGGTGGCGCACAAAAAAAACAACAGTTGGAGTAGTTAACTGCTTTACTAACTTACAATACTAACGCAGCTTTCTGTTACCCTACAAGCAGCATAATATACAGTCCCGAGTTTCATTTACCTACAAGGAATAGTGTTAGCTACCGCTAACAAGCTAAAGTGGCTAAGTAGTTATCAGTTTAGCAAACATTCTGCCATTTCAAATGTAGAAATCGGCACCGCGATTCTGTACAGCTAACTTTAGTGAACAGTTCACAACAAGATAATAATTTTTATAAATGTAATCTACTGAATTTACCTTGACGGTCGATCTTCACCTCCGTGTCAGGGCGGGAAGGAACAAGAAGCAACAGCAGCAGCAGACCAAAATGGTGATGAGTCTTCTGGATTTTACCGACACCTACCGATGGTGACGTTTGTGAGGAGGTGGGGGAGGGGTGGCTACACAAACTTTATTGAAACATGCACAAAACTAAACAAAGGCATAAACTTTTAAAGTGAGTGTAGGTTACAACTCTTTTATCAGTGTTTAGAAATATATTTCTAAATGCAGGTGACTTTGACAGCTATGAGCAGCTCTTTTAGTGGGAGAATGCGGCACCCAAGGTGTGGGACAGAGAGATTCCGTAGGTCTGTCCTCCCCACTGCTGTCAGACTTTACAACAAATCTGTCGGTTGAAGTGTACTCTGTATTTCTAGCTGTATCTAGTATGGTTATTATTTATTACTTTTTAACCCATTCTTAAGGTATAAACTGTCTATTGTATTGAGTTTATTTTATCTCATTGCGGTCGGTCTTATTGTATTTTAATGTTTTTCTCCCTCTTCAGCATAACTTTTACTTTTACTTTGCTTGGCTGTAAACGAAACAAATTTCCCACTTGTGGGACTAATAAAGGTCATCTTATCTTATCTTATCTTATATTATAGGAAGTAGTTTTAATTAGAACATACAACTGCATTGGTATCGGTTCCTAGTATTGGTTAACTTTTAACGAGTACAATTACAGTATCAGTATCAAAGTAATGAAGTATAGCCAAACATTATTAATTCACATCATTACATTTCTTTGACTCTTCTTTAAAAAATGTAGTTACAAAAAATTACCCTCTATATAAAAGGGCCATGTGAGCATTGTTACACAAAGCCAGGAGTTATTAAGATTAGGCATAGATCTTCAAACAGTAAAAAGGTTCTTCAAAGCACTAAAAGTAAGTATAAATGTGACAACCTCTCTTCAAAAAATTAATCAGTTCTCAAAAGAACCTTAAACAGCAAGGAAAAGGTTCTTCAACTGAAAAAGGTTCTCCAGGGCACTCAAAGTGCTTTAGAGAACTTATGAAGAACCACTTTTATTTAGAGTGCAGATATGTAAACAACCTACGCTACCCGGCCCGGGCCGACCCGGTACAGGTGGGAATGGGGCTTTAATGGGCAGCTTTCCAGAACTGGTGCGCAGAACGGAATGTTCAAGCGCTCTCCTGCCAGCTGGCGGATGTCCTATCGTTTCTGCAGATACTGATGGACAGGGGCCTCGCATTCAGCACTGTTAAGACATATGCTGCAGCTATCTCATCATGTCATCAGGGTTTTGGAGATAGATCTGTTTTCAATCATCCCCTCACAAAACGTTTTCTAAAAGGTGTCAGGAGGAACAGACCTGTGTCCCGCCCGCTTTTTCCCCAATGGGATCTAACGGTGGTTCTGCGTGGCTTATCTGAAGCTCCATTTGAACCCTTGGACCAAGTCTCACTCAAGTTCCTGTCGCTTAAAACTGCATTGCTGCTGGCGCTAGCATCAGTTAAGAGAGTGAGTGACCTAACCGCCCTCTCAGTGGCTCCCGCATGCCTCAGGATCCGGGAGGATGGCGGGTCTGCTGTTTTATGCCCCAACCCAGCCTTTGTGCCCAAAAGCATTAATGCTTCCTTCAAATCCAGGTCAATTTCATTGGCTGGACTTTTTCCTCCTCCCCATAATTCTGAGGAGGAGGCGGCTTCTCACCTTCTCTGCCCGGTGCGCGCGCTTGCACGATATGTGTCACGCACTTCAGGGATTCGTCGCTCACAAAACCTGTTTGTGCACTACAGGGAGTCTTCCCTTGGTCAGGCGCTGTCGGCCCAGCGCCTTTCACGCTGGCTGTGTGACGCCATTTCCCTCGCTTACACATCATCAGGGCAGCATCCCCCTGAGGCACTCAGGGCTCACTCAGCCAGAGGGATTTCCTCTTCGATGGCGCTCCTCAGTGGTGTGTCAATGGAAGTCATTTGTCAGGCTGCTTCATGGGCTTCACCCTGTTCCTTTACTCGTTATTATTTACGAGATGTGTCTTCAGGATCCATCACTCGTTCAGTGCTTGGACCCCAGCAGGCTAAATGAATGCTTATGGCACCTCATTGGCCTTGCTGAGATGGATTTCATCCTCTTGTGGATGATGTTTTTTAGTGGGGGCCCCTCTCTTATCGTGCCTGCCTCAGTCTTTAAGCCTGGTCTGAGGCTGAACGTCCCCCACTAGAGGAGATTTGATTGGGTGTGTCCGTTGGCTGTGTTAACCAGTGGGGCGTAAACCCATCCAGCTGCGCTTTATTCCAATAGCAGCTAGCTTAAGGGCTAAGACTAGACGATAATAGAACGTTGGTTACGTATTGTAACCCCAGATTCTATGAGTCTAGTCGCAGCCCTTAAGCCACTGGCCCCACTGGTTTTGATGGGAATAAGAGCCATTGGAGGTGAGCAGTGGGGTCACTGCGGTTATATACCACGAGGGGGCCCACTATTGGTGGGCGTACATTTAAGCTCTTCATGATTGGCTGATGCGGAGATCATCCTTCCAATAGCAGCTAGCTTAAGGGCTGCGACTAGACTCATAGAATCTGGGGTTACAATACGTAACCAACGGTTTTCCATCAGGCAGTCACGGGGCAGCTCAAACGACCCAGTGACCGAGCTCAGTCCGTTACCGACACCGGCTCGGCAGAGGGTGGACGAGCCGAGGCGGCGTCGTGCTCTGCTTAAGAAGTGTTATTTTCCTGCTTCAGAAGAAGCGTCCAACGTGTTTTTACGCTTTCTCCGAGACACGTCACGTCACTAAGTAGTTAGCGTCGCGCGCTAAGGAAACCCTGCGTTCCTCTTCGGAACGAAAACCTCGTTGTCGCTCAGCCGTGGCGAAGCCATGTTTGTTCACACACAAGTGAAAACAAGCGGGGCACTAATATATTGCTCACTGTGATTGGTTAAGGGTCAAACAAAGGCGTGTCATTCGCCTGGGGCAGCTCATGCCGCTAGTACGTCGTGTTTAGCTGTATTTTAATCAACTTCATATTCAATAATTACAGAAAATTGTGTTTACAGTTGCAGCAAAACATCTGAACCCTATGTCGGAGTCCTGCACACATTTTAAAGCCATGATATGAAATTTTTTCATATTTAAAACATTTTCTTGAGCCAGTATGTGCTAAAATGACCGTTAACAGCAGTGGTATGAAGTTCCCAGCCTGGAGGGCCGGTATCAAGCACGTTTTAGTTTTAACTCCGTTTCGACGCACCTGATTTCAACCAGCAGGTGATTAACTCCTTAGCATTCCAGCGTCCCGCCCGAGGGACAAAACCCCATTGCGCTGGAAATTGACGGAGTTAAGCTTCTCTAGAGCCTGGACTGCTGCACAGGTGCTTGAACCACTGAATCAAGCATATTGGAGCAGAGAAACCACTAAAACTTGCTGGATACCGGCCCTCCAGGACCGGAATCGAATACTCCTGTTTTAGAGGGTTAATGAACAGCCACCCAGCACATATCGCACCCCTTTGGCCAGAATGTTCCACTTTCAACTCCAGACTGGCAGTTGGCTCTGTTGGGACTCAAACAAATATTGAGCTGACATACCTGGAGCTGCAGTCTGCTTCCAGCACATTTCCTGCATGTTTTAAATCATGAACGCAGCTGATTTATAACATGTTTATTGCCAGACTTAAAGTCCATTTTAAAAGAAACATACAGATAAAAGAAAAAGATACAAGAAAAACACAAGAAAAGAAAGGATACCAATTAACATTAATACCAATAAAAGCCTGTTAAAATCACAGGATATAACTGCAGTGGAGGTAAGGGACAACAAAACTAACTAGTTGAGATAAATCCACCCAAACATTTGAACCAGTGCATTCTCAGCCTAGACATACAATGAGAGCAGCTCACAGTGGGATTTGAGAGTGCAGCTATAATACTATTGGAAGACTCTTGCAGCCGTCTCATAAACTTGAACATTAAATTTCTTAGAAGTGCCTTAAATGTGCACACGCTCACAGAAACACACGTTTGACTAGCACTGCCTCCCCTGGGAATTTTGAGGAGGATTCTCGTTGCATTATGGAAAATGATGGACAACCCTGAGCATTCTCTTCACAAGACTGTCCAACAATGGAAGAGTGTCTTCAGTCAGAGGCTTCTTCAGTTTCGCTGCAACACTGACCACTACTGGAGATCCTTCCTGCCAACAGCCATTGTAATATACAACAACTCTTTGATGACTTGATTATTATTATTATTCTGAGCTACTACAGCAATCAATTTCCCTCTGGGATTATTTAAGTATTTTTGAATTGAATTGCATTGCATCATGGTATGCCACTTGTAACATGTGCAAGCTAGACTTGTTATAGAATGACCACAGATGTGCAGTATGCTTTAAATAATGCCACTTTAACAGGTGTGGAACAACAGCTGGATGTCCGTGCAATGGTGTCTGCTTGCACATATAGCTTGCAGCGCTGCCTGTAAATATCATCATCGCCGCTCATATCGGCTGTGATAAAGTGTCCAAGATATTTCATCTTCTCACAGACTGCCAGACTGTTGCTGGACAACTTAAACACAGGAAAATTAAGCCTTTTATCCTGGGTGGTTCTGTAGATTAGAACAACACTTTTGCTCGAGTTATATTTTAAATCATATTCCATTCCATACCCAGTACTAACATCTAGGAGCTGCTGCTGCTGATTAGTTCAGTTTAGTGATGAATCACTCATGTAGACACTGAAGGTGGTTTCCAGGAGCACTACTCAGCCTAAAACAGCTCTGTACAGCGTGGCTTGAGTCAGCCCATCTGAAAGCAGGTTTGTTCCCACGCCAGCTCCATGAAGCCCCTAGCCAATCAGCGGCCAGAATCACGATACCGGCCCAACTCAGCCTTGCCAGGTACCTCAGTGGAGCAGGGACTAAAAATAGGGGAGAAAATACCAAAGCGTGCCCTTGGAAACCGTGGTCGGGCTGAACTGCATCGGTCCGAGTTGCCCTGAGTAGAGTTCCTGGAAAAGCACCTTAAGGCTGCAGAACCAGGCATACCAGCTCTACTAACTCCAACAGACCTGACCG